AACCAACCAAACTGGATTTAGCTGAATCCCCTCTAGTGTTATTAAAGGTTATTATAACACTGTGTGTGTGTGTGTGTGTGTGTGTGTGTGTGTGTGTGTGTGTGTGTGTGTGTGTGTGTGTGTGTGTGTGTGTGTGTGTGTGTGTGTGTGTGTGTGTGTGTGTGTGTGTGTGTGTGTGTGTGTTGTCGAGTTCTTCTAAGAAACAGGCCACATCAAGAGCTAATCAGGCTAATTTTACAGGTAGCTGCCACCTCTTAGCGAGTTAAAAGTACTGAAACTGAACAGCTCTTTGCTGAATATGCAGCAAAAACATGTCTCATAGTTGAGCTGAATTTTAAAGCAAACACCCACGGATTTCACCCGGTAAGTGGCTCGGGTTAAAAGCGTACAACAGATCTTCAGAGGAGAGCTCCATCTAACAACTGGGATGCTTGTTCCTCCACTGAGGTGTTTGGTATAATTTATATTAGTGAACGCAGAATCAAAGCTCAATTTTAGACTTTCTAGGTCGTGTTTTTATTGTAAACACCTCAGAGGATCAAATTTACAAAAAGTGATCCTCAATCAGTCGAGGTGTGGATGCTTTTTGTGAGGTTCTGCAGAAGGATGCTTGTTTAAAGGGAGTTTTTCCTCTCCACAGTCGCCCAGAGCCATGCACGCTCAGTGCAAGGAATAAACAAAAACTACATTTACAGACGGCCTGCGCTCCTTATTTCAATACATTTGTGGTGGCCTCTAAATTAATACATGGCACCCCTTTTTCAGGAAGTAGAAGTTAGGAGGAGTGGGGGCAGAAAACTGCAGGATCAGGAATCTTACTCATCAATATTCATGATATTCTCATTCTCACCTCTGATTGGACAACAGCAACATGACTCTACCACTGACTCAGTTTGCAACGTCGGTGTTTTATCTCCACAAATTTCACAAGCCTGAAGGAATTCTGCTGTGAGGTGGATTTGCTAATGCTAACAGTTAGCTTCTACTAGCTGCTGTTTCCTGGACACTAAACCAACAACAACCCTCCCCGTTATGAGTCAAGATGGGTGAGTCCACGAATGTTAAATTTCAGTGTGACGGAGATCTCAGCGGCTTTTCTGAGAGTTTCTCCGTCTGTTTTCGATCAGCCGCTAATGCAGGAAACGGGGTAGGAGACTATTTTCATGTTCAGCCTGCATGTTAAACTCAGAACTGATCATATTTAAAAATAACAAGTAAGTCAGCCTTTCTCCAGAGTGGACAGCAGTTTTCTTCTCTGTATGCAGATGTTGGTGGTTTATTTACAACTCAGCCCCAACCTTAGACACCAGTGCTGCATGAAGGTGAACTTTTCATTTTTATGCATAAAGATTATTTAAACCTTTTAGCGGAGTAAAGCCATGCCTGGCTCTGTTAGAACTGAGCTTCTGTCCTTATGCCAGATGAATTAACTGATTTTACTAAATAGTCGATCTTTTGGGAAGTCATTGTTTTTGTTGCTTGCATTGCATCCCGATGGTGTGTGTCAAGAAACAACACATTTTGTTGTTTTGCATGATTGGAGGAGTGGTGTGTGGTTGGTTGTTCAGGCTTGATAAAAAGTTATATTGGAATATTCTCCGTAAACGACTGCGGAATACGAAAGAGATGATAGGAAGTGGCCCGGACTCTCCCAAGGAAGCCTGGACTCCTGCAGTAACGGACAGTTTGTGAGGCTCATTTAGTTCACGGTAAGTCTTTGTGAACAAGTATTTGTTAATTAGAGGAGATGTTGTTAAAAACATTCATCTTGGTATATTTAGCTGTTTTTGTGTTTTTATTCAGGCGTCACAATCTGCGATCATTATAATAATCAATAAAGAAATAAATATGATTAGTGAAGATTTACTCGGCTTTGCAGTCGCTGTGAGGATTCACCCGTTGTCTTTGGTCATCACCACAGGTGTGGCTCTGCTCATCGAGCTAGCTGCCATTAGCACGACCACGGCTTTCAACTCAACTTTCCTTAAAATGATTAATATTATTATCATTTCATTGTGTTTATTTCTTGATTCTGATTTTGCTTATTATTTATTTTTTCTTGCATCAAGTACCGCAGCAATTTGCTAATGTTGTGATTCTCGCACAAATAAAAAAAAACCTTTTAAAACAAAATAATCGTAGGTTCCCAGATGTTCGGTTTTTCATAAGTGAAGGGTCCAGGGTTTTCTGTTGATTAGCAATAAATGTCTCATATATCAAATCTCCCGGAGCTCATACGGGCTTTTAATAATTTTAATTTTCTCTCCAGTAAAAATTTTAAGCTTCTCTCTAACCCCCTCTTGTCTTGAGGTGGTGAAGTGTCACGTTGAGAGCAAGGGGGGTTAGGACCCAAGATGCAGGACACCCAGAACGACACGAGGCAGGAGCGGATGTAAAAATAAAAATTCCTTTTATTAGGATGGGGAGCAAAAATAAAATCCAAAAGGGCAGGAAGCCAAACCAAAGACCTAAACCCTGACAAGACCAAAAGCTCACTTTCTGAGCAGATAACTAGAGACCTGGTGGGGGAACAAAACAACACTGGCACAGACAACAATAGGTCCGACAAAATACTGAGACGCAGACAGGGTTATATACACAGGGGCTGGGTGATTAAGGGAATTGGACACAGGTGAGACTAATATCAGAGAGGAGGGGCAGAACGGAGCAGGGGAGGAAACCAGACCTAGCTGGGGAAGGAAGCAAAAATGAACCAAAGGGAGATACTGACTAAATGACCCAAGCATGACGGAAACTATAAGTGGGGTGGGTAAGGGAAACGTGAGGGAAACCTATAGAGAACCTAGAGAGGGATGGGGAACACAAGGAGGCACATGAGGGGGACGCAGAACATGGCATAAGCTCTCTTTAAAGTATACGTCGTGTATTGATAGCGGGTCGTTTTGTGTTTGTTTTGCCCCACCCAGATGAAAAAAGATGTCGACAAGGATCCTCCTGCTGGACCATCACTGACTACCGGTACTGTTATTGTTAGATATTAATTAACTCCTTAAACTCCATGGCTGCTTTATCTAAACAACTAGAACAACTCCACAGTCACACCTGCAGGGGCAGCAGTAGCTCAGAGGGTAGAGTGGGTTGTCCAGTGATTGGAAGGTTGTAGGTTTGATTCCGGCTCCCACCACAGAATTCTTCTGTTGTGTCTTTGGGCAAGACACTTAACCCGTCTTGCCTGCTGGTGGTGGTTGGAGGGACCTGTGTTCAGCAGGCCTCGCCTCTGTCAGTGTGCCACATCATGGCTCATTCCCACCAGTGTGTGAATGTGTGTGTGTCTGACTGTGTTGTGAAGCGCCTAGGGGGGGGGGGGGGGGGGGGAGTAGAACCCTACACAAATACAGACCCTTTTCACCTGATTTCAGGAGTCTTGAATTCCACCTGTTGACCATATAATCTGTGTGTTACGGAGTTTTGCGTTTTAACTTTTAAGACACTGGTTGGTTGATTCCGGCTCCAGAATAAATTAGAGGAATCATACAGACGTCTGCTGAACATTAGATTCATGGTCTCATCTCGGTTCTGTGTGTGACGGCGCTCTTTAGTTCGGCCTACCTTGTTTTACGAGCAACATTCCTCTCTCCTCACCAATTGGACCACATCAGTTCTGCTATCTCCCCACGCGGGGAAGGTGGCGTTGGAGCGGCAAAGGGGGCCAGCCTGAGCAGGGACGGGGGTGGGGGGGGGTGCATTTTGGTGGGGGGAAGGGCATGTCTGCTGGCAGCGAGGGTGAGCAGATCAGTGCGGCTCAGTGTCTGTGAAGCAGCGATAAGATTCCAGGATTTTCCCAGTGTGACAGGCCTGCTCAGCAGCCGTGCACCGCCCGGCGCTGGAGACAACAACAACCGCCACCACATGACCCTCCCTGCCCTGCCCCCTTCTCCCCCTCCTCCTCCCACCTCAGCAGGCAGGGACCACACCCCAAAAACCTGAAAACAGAAGATCCTCGTCTGAAATCAGAAATGATTTCATTGCACTCAACCTCCCCGCTACTTTCTACTCATACTGTCTTTTTTTTCTTCCTGCAGCTCACTTCTCTTTATCTCTGCCTCCTCAGTCCCCCCACCCCTCCCTCCTCCTCCCTCTCCCCTGCATGGCAGGTCAGGCAGTGAGCTGTGCGGGCTCTGAGGAGGTAAGGACGCCGCGGTGCACATTAATAATGGAAGGCCTTAGCCACCACCCCCAGAAACACACCAGTCTCCTGTACACACTCCCCCTTATCGCCATGGCGATGGCACTAGCCCAGCACTGTCACCTAGGGGGAGGTGGGGGGTGTACGAAAGTGGAGGAGTGTAGCTGTGCTCACAAGGCTCATCACAAGCTCGTGCACACACCAGGCCTTCCTCTGTGGACGAACGCTAATTAAAGCCACTTTTTCTTCTCTGGCAGAGATCTGCATCTACGCTACCTCACCTGGATGTGACTTAAGAACAGATTTTTATTCTCATGACCAAACAGGACATGGAGATTCTCTCCCATCACAAGTCTGAATCACTGTCTACACCAAAACCTGAAATTAACCAGGTGTTTTAGACCTTTGTCTTCTCAAATCGGCGGTGTTCAAACTTCCCACTAACTTCCTCAGGATGGTTTTAATGGAACGTAGTGACACAACATCCCATCAGTAACCCGTGACTGTCGCGGATTTCCTGCGTCTCAGCAAGGTGCCTTCTGACTGCAAATGCCAAAGTGAGGTGAGTCACACAAACCTCAAAGAAAATCACCAACGATGAACGAGATCCAGGGTTTCCACAAAGTTTCATGCAGGCGGAAGAAACACGGCAATCAAAACGGTTCTTATTCAAACATGTTTTAAATGATTTTGGTTACATTTTAGCAACAGCAAGGCTCCATCATTCCAGTGTAGGAGGATTTTACACATGTAGGCAGCAGGAGAGATCCCTCACCACCACCTGGTTTACTTCTGGCTGCATCTGACCATGCTGTCCAATTATATTTAAAAAAAAAGAGAACATTTCTTGCAATCTGTGTAAAAATTAAAACTCAAGTATTTCGTTTTAGTCACCTTTTGTTTTTCTTTAAAAAAACGACATGCAAACAGACGATTAGACAAATATCAGAATTGTAGATTTTGACACAAATACATGCATTCCTTTTTATTCACAAAACCGGTCCAATTTTTTTAAACAAATACAAAGATTGAGTTATTTTCAAAAGCTGTATAGCTACTCAGCCACTTAACAAAAGAAACAAAATCATGAAAATAAAACAAACAAATTTAAAAAATGCTTTTTTTTCAGTGCTTCAGTAGGCTCAGAGCAAGTGCTGTCTCTTGGTGCTTTTGCCCTGAGCAGTGTGTTGGCACATGCTCAGTAGGGCCACAGAAACATAAGGCTGCAAGTTTTACTAAAAAGGACAAAAACTGTTTGAAAATGCAGACGATCGAGGGCTTATTGAGGAGAAGACAGCAGTTACAGCTCACACAAAAAGCTGCTTCAACCCAGTGAAGGCTTTCTGGAGCTCTGCCAATAATAATAATAATAATAATAATAATAATAATAATAACAATCAGTCTCATTTCAGGATCTAATTGACAGCATCACACCTTAAATCCTCTCTTTCATATCAATCATCAAATAGACGCGGGTTTAAAATGGCAAGGAATTACAATGTTTGCCATTAGCCACTAGTTTTAAAATATAGCTGTAAATTTACATTCTCTACACAAGTACTGAATCTTTCCACACATGAACAACATTAACACCAAACACAGACATTAGTTTGATTGTCCACACTCAGTCCGTCCGTTCTGGTTCTGGCAATGAGCAGTTCCGTGTTCAAGCAACAGAAACCATTAAAAAAGAAAATTCAAAACTAACGGCAGGAAAAAAGGACAAAAGGTACCAAAATGGAAACATAGAAAAGGGAATGAAAAGTTGCCGTAGATGCATTTCTTTGCACTTCATTTTTGGTTCGAGGAATAGGTGCATCCATCATCCCACTGATGGTTCTCAGCTTCTCTGTCTGTTTTCATTTGAATGGTAATTGTTGCCAGTTTGTTTTTGACCAGTGTCTGATCTGGAGACAGTCCAGGAGTTGGCATTGCACTTGATGGCAGAGCTTTGGGTAGGGAGCGGAGGAGGAGTCCTACTGGAACCACCGGAACGCCGCTCCCGCAGGAAGCATCACCTTCTTGGAGAAACACAAGACAACAAGGGAGGGGAACGGGGGTGGGGGTGGGGGTGGGGGTGGGGGGTGGAAGAAGCAGGGTAGACTTGTTAATGAAGAACAGCAGAAATACAACTTTAAAATTTCTTTCATTTGACTTTAGAGCCGCAGTGGTTTTTATCAGTGTAAGTGTGTGTATACGTATATATATATATATATATATATATATATGTATATATATATACACATACATATATATATATGTATAAGCTATAGGTTATAATGCCCCCCTTTACAGGGTTAATAACAGGTCACCCAGCCACTGTCGCCCCTGTGGCCAGAATATTCCCCTTACAACGTCCGACTGGCGGGCTGCTCTGTTGAGCTGACATATCTGGCGCTGCAGTCTGGTTCCAGCTCGTTTTAGATCATAAACACAGCTGATTCGTTTAATTTAGTAATCACTCCTGTAGACGCTAATGAAGGCTGGGGAGACGTTTAATCTGTTAGATGAAGGTGTTACAAAGAACAACGCACCACTGTGCAGCGGTTAGGTTTGCTTTTGGTTCTACAAACGGACACTAAAGGGTGCTAAAAGCAAGCCAAAACTGCCTAGTTCCCCTTTAATCATTTTTGTATTTTTTAATCTAATTGATGCTTTTATTTGCCATGTGCTTTCTGTCAGGGAGCTACCAATGGAAATTAGCCGTTCTGTCTACAGTTGGCTACATTTACATTGTAATATGTTTATTAATGTGCATTCATCATTCATTCATTCACCTATACCAACAATTTTACCACCATCCCCATCCTGATATAACTCTCCGACCACGTCTAGACACACATGCTATATCGTGTCATGCTAGCACAACAACCAGGCCTCACTGGTGCACTTGGGTCCCAAGTCACAGATTTGAATCCCCCCAATTTGTCGTGTCACAATTTACCTCCTTAGTAAAGCCACTTTAAAGTCAGGCACACTGGTGGGAAGCCAGGTGCTTCAGCAGAATTTAATATGAGTGTATTTTTATGTTTCTGAATAACATCTGCTTAAATAAGTACTTGGTCAGTTTATTGATTTGTTCGATTAATGATAGTTAGATGTCTGATTTTAACACTTTTAACATAAAATTAAGATTTAAATGGAACTCCGGCTATGAGGACGTGTGTGCCCTAATAAGCCACAAGTTTTCTGTTGTACCAAACTATGTTGTTAGAAACACACAGAATGTTGCTGTTTATTTATAAATCTATAATATTTAGTACATTTTTTTTTACATACGTAGGACGCCATGTTTTCCACACACGATGCACTCTGGGGGTGATGACGTATATTGATTACTCTTGGAAGATTAGCTATTGACGCTAGTGTTTGTTTATGCGCTCACCGTATTAATAATTAAGTAAAATGCCACGCTGTGCTGCTTTTGGATGTAATTTCCAGTCAGAGGGCAACAATGGGAGTGATGCTTTCCCACTGGCAAGAAGAGGAGAAAGCAGCGGGAAGATGCCTGTGGACGGACACATCTTCCCAAAGATCCGTGGCTGTGTTCCCAACATTTTTCTCCTGATGCGTTTGAGGCTTGTTCAAAGTCAATTCAAATTCAAAGATACTTTATTAATCCCAGAGGGAAATTAGAGTTTCAGTACACACAGTTCTGAGATCAGACAGACATACATAGGCATAGACACATGACAAGAATTGGTTACTGTGGTCATTCGCAACCCGAGTTGCGCTACCTTAATAGAGATCAGAGGGGTTTACATGAGGATTGGGTCAGGTGGAGGAAAAAAGGCACTTCAGAGTTACCCTCCACAGGGAGGGCAGCTTCGCTATGCAAAAAACACCTCAGGAGCCTTGGGATAAGATAGGGAGGAGAGGAGGAAAAAAAGAGTCTGAACTCTCCAAGTCAGCCACAACTACTTAAAGAGCTCACCAGAGCGACTGCGTATAAGAGAAGGCGGAAACTAAATGCTTTACCGACCATTTTCCCACACAAGGAGCCTAAACGCCCTCGGAGAGACAAGAGACGCTGGACGCTCTCCTGAGCCGGCAACCCGCTCGTGTTGGGCGAACCATCGGACACGCCACTCGTCACAGGTGAAGCTGAACGATCACCTCTCTCGTCAGTAAAACAAGCAGTAAGTGTAGCAACACAGTGTTCTCCAAATATGTAATATCTGCAAAAATGATTAAAGTGGTTTCACTGAATATCCCAATCATCTATAAAGCACACGACAGCTCTGGATGCTAAAATTCTCCTAAATCATTCATAATTGAATAAGTTTGATCACACGACAGTTTACCGTTAACTTCTGCTGACAAAAATGTGAGCTCTTGACAACAAACACTCTCCCTCTCGGTTACTATGGAGACGCATTTGCCACACACACACCACCTGCACTCGCTTCATCCCGCCCTTCTTGCTCTTCATTTTGACGCTCCCTTTGTGAAACATGGTCAGTGATGTCCTCATTAATGTTTCTCTCTGGTTCAAAGTGAAAAGGCTGAACAGACGACATGTTGATGTCACTGAACAGTCACTACAGGGTCGCAAAGCCGGCCGGTGCAACCGAGGTACAACCATATGACGTCACTACCCAGAGTGCATTGTGACGCTAACAACAATGGCGACCTACGAGTTAAACTATTTTTACAAATTTTATAAAAATGAAGACATTAAGAAGGTTTTTTTTTACACCACTTTAATATAACTGATACTAACATGTATCTTTTAAGAACCACAAGGTTTTGGAACCTGAGTTCCTTTTAACAGCTGGTTAAATTCAGTGTTAAAAAACTGATTCAGCTTCTGAAATTTGGCACATCCACTGATGTTATGTGTAACATTTTAATATGAAAATAAGGTGGAATATGAAAATAAGGTGGAAAACGTCAAAATATCTGCAGCACAAATCGGCCATCGGCTGACCTTTACATATCGGCATCGGTAGAAAAACCAATATCTGTTAAACTCTAGTTCCAACCCACCAGAATTGTTGAGGACCCAACTTTTAACTGATGTACGAAGCAGAGCTATGGCAATCAGCAAAGGCTGTGGGAGACAAAGAGGAACTTGAATCCTTACATTTTGTCCCAGTCAAAGAAATCTGTCGGATATGTTCGATGGCCATGTCCCAGCAACGATCAGCAAAATTCTTCTGGTGCGCGTGAACCACTTTGAGGCAGACTGCTTATGCCCTGTTTGGGTCGGCATGTATTGAAAACCTCGGACTTCACACAGCCAGGTTTTCCAGCAAGCGTCTTCTGTTGGAGAGAGCTGTATACCAGCTGTCTGTGTGCAGTCAGCAGAGTGAGGTAGATGTATGTACTTTTAAATAATGGCTTTTGTGTTTTTACCGCAGGTAAGTAAGGACTAGACTGGTTCAGGAGGAGCTAGTTTGTCGTGTAACCAGTGTTCTAGTAGTCGCAACCTGGAACCGAGGTCGGAATGTGCTCCTCTTGTTCCTTTTTTTATTTTTGGCCTACTTTGTTTGTTAAAAGTGGCATCATGGTTGGGTTCATCAGAACGTGTTCTCCGGCTCTCACTGGAGCGGTTCGCAGCCGAGTGTGAAGCAGCTGGGATAAGAATCAGCTCCGCTAAATCCGTGTAAATGAGTCAGAAAAGGGTAGAAAGACTTCTCCGGGTCAGGGATGAGGTCCTGCCTCACGTGGAGGAGTTGAAGTATCTCGGGGTCTTGTTCACAAGTGAGGGTAAGATGGAGCAAGAGATCGATAGGCGGATCGGTGCAGCATCTGCAGTGATGCGGGCGTCGTACCGGTCTGTCGTGGTGAAGAGAGAGCTGAGCCAGAAGGCAAAGCTCTCGATTTACCGGTCGATCTACGTTCCTACCCTCATCTATGGTCACAAGCTTTTTGTAGTCACCGAAAGAATGAGATCGCGGATACAAGCGGCCGAAATTAGTTTTCTCCTCAGGGTTCCTTAGAGGTCATCCGGGAGGGGCTCGAAGTAGAACCGCTGCTCCTCCACATTGAGAGGAGCAAGTTGAGGTGGCTCGGGCATCTAGTTAGGATGCCTCCCGGATACCTCCCTGATGAGGCACCTTAGGATTCCCCCGGAGGAGCTGGCCCAAGTGGCTGTGGAGAGGGAAGTCTGGGCCCCCCTGCTTAGGCTGCTGCCCCCACGACCCGACCCCAGATAAGCGACTGAAATTGGATGGATGGCTCATGGTTGGGTTTCTTCTGCATGCTGCAAAAGACTTTCTGAGACCATGAGTGGAACCTGAACCATAGTTTGAGAACCATTAGAGGATCTCACAAACAGACAGGGTTTCATGCAGTGCAGCACAAAAAACCCTAAAGAGACAAAAAATGTGATTTTAGTGAACTAATCAGCTGAGTTCTGGTTCTGTTTCAGCCTCTGACCCCACGGTGAGCTCCATCTATTAAATCTGTAGACTGGAACTGGCCTGCCTTCAGCCCCAGCTTCACACAACACCCAGTATGCCACATTTATTATTTAGCCGTCACACACATTGCCCTCCCGCAGCGTCGTGAACGCTGATGCTGATTCCCGTCGCCCTCCCCTCCACACCGTGGTCATCAGCGAGCCTGAACACGAGGGGCACACATGCATGCAGCCACAGGGTTCAGCAGCAGCCCGCCGGTCTGGAGCTCAGATCCTTCCGATTTCCAAAACTGCCTGGAGAAGGGATGGGGGGTTGTAGCTCGGCAAACATTTACGCACCCACACACACTCTCACGCTGAACCAATATGTATTCAAGTGCAGTCACACACCTCCACACACAGCGGCACGTTAACCGACTCTCGCAACACCCCCCCGAAATCACACCAAACCGCCAGACTGCTCAAGATAAATTCTGCCTGAATCAAAGTCACTTCTTCATCAAAGGAAGAAGTTCTCAGACATGAATCTGCTTTTGTGTGACACTGAAGAGGAAACATAACCCGGACATGCCAGGGTCGCCCTCTGACATTTTTCCGCCTGATATATACTTTTTTTTTAATTACATAAAACTGAAGAGTTTTGTGTTGTGATTC